TGATTTATTCTTCCATTCCTTCCATTCAAAAAAGAGCTATGGGGAGAGTGCTACACATACTGCAACATTCCAGGAGTTGTGGGAGCCACAAAGGTAATGAAAGTTTGCATTTTATGAATACTTTCCCCATTTCATTTTGTCCTTATACCAATACTGTGACATGCTATGGTAACACTAAAGTGTTGTACTAAGGGAAAAAATAATATAAAATGAAAGCATGAAGGTAAGCATTTGAGCTAATTCTCTCTTAACATTTTCTTTGGGAAGGAACTATGACAAGTGTATTTTTATCTCTAGGCAAATTTATTGATTCCCCAGATCTTCTTCCATCATGTTTCTTTTCTAAAGCCTTCTAATCTCAAGGCTTTTTAGACACTAGGCTGCCAGAAACGGCCACATACAAATGGGAATTTAGGCTGCAAAGTTTAATTTCTCCTGGTGCAAGGTATTTGTGCAGAAAGACTGATTACAGGCATTGTATCAGAGAGCTCCAGGGACTGTGTCATGTAAGTCATAGAAAACAGGTGTTTTTCAGTGGGGAATGGTGTTTTTTATCCACCAATCTCCTTGTGGTTTGGTAACGCTCTGGCCATTGTCAACCTGTCAGGTTCTTCCTTTTAATGAAACTTACCAAGTAACCCTTGTAAGGTCTAAATTAGACAAATAGTTTTAAAAAAAAGAAGGGAATGGGAGGAAAATATTACAGATACGTACTAATGATTCTGGGAGTCTGCCCAGTTCATCAATAACTACAAAAACAAAGGCAGTCGGACAAGGAATTCAGAGGCCCCGCTGCCCTCTATTAGGATGTTCACATCCCGCCACATGCCCGGGTCAGGAGACAATAAGCAGAAACTCTGCTGTAAGGCTCAGAGGAGTAGCGATGGGGGTTGAGTTTGCCAGTTAACAACCTCAAATTACAGACAAAATGCGCGGCTGGGTCAGAAACACAGACCCGCGCTTTGTTAGCGGTCGGCCTTGATAAATGACACCCCCCACCCTTTTCTTTTGTCGCTTACTTTTGAATGTGTTTTTAAAAGTTTTGACCGCTTAGAGAGAGGTGGGCCCCTTGTTCTTTCACAGCCAAATTGTAAGAATGTATGGAAAGGAAAAAAAAAAAACGATCATTTGGTTATTCTGGCATGATGATTCTTGAATTCCTTGGGTCAAACTTAAGCTCTATTTTAATATACTGTTTTGCAAAATGCATAAAGGTTTCTTAAAAAGGGGGTGTTTCAGTCATGATTTGCTGCCAGATATCTTAGAAGAAATTAACAAAAATACTGCTTTTAAACAATATTTCTGTTAATTTTATTAGAAAAGGAAAAGTTATTGTAAACCACTATATTCTTTTAAAAAATATACTTATAAAATTTGTGAGGGTTAATAAGCTGGTATAATATTTTAATAGTGGCTTTTGGAATAGTTGCCTTTACTGTAATTTATCTAGCCTATAAGATTTAATAGATATACTTTAAATATGATGTCTAATGAGTTAGTATTAGTGAAAATACGAGAATTGTTGATGTACCTCAATTAATTAAAAAATTTTTTTTTTTTTTTTCGGTGAGACAGGTTTCCTCTGTTGCCCAGCTGAGAGTGCGGTGGTGTGATCACAGCTCATCCACAACCTCCAAAACCTCAACATCCTGGCTCAAGTGATCCTCCTGGCTCAGCCTCCCTGAGTCACTGGGACTACCAGGTGGGTGCCCATACCTGGCTATTGTTTTAAAAAATTTTTTTGTAGAGTGGGTCTTGCTGTGTTTGCCGACTAGTCTTGAACTTCTGGGTTCAAGTGATCCTCCTGCTCGGCCTCACAAAGTGCTAGATTACTTAGGTGCGAGCCACCAACCCCGGCAACACCTTTCATTCTTTAAAACGATCTTTCTCATTATAGTAACAAGATTGGCCTTGCCAACCCAAACCCCTGCTTTCCGCCATCCCCACTGATTCCTGAACTAAGCCGAAATGCTTGGATGATAAATTTGTACTAAGAGAAATAAGGGGGGTAGTCTTCTTTGTGCCACTATGATTTTTTAAAAAGTAAAAAATCCAAATTCATTTATACTATCCCAACATGGACTCCACCAATGGAGTTTTCTCTAAATTTTCCAGACTTGACTAAAAATTCAATTGTAGGACTTAGCAAACCATTCTTATCCTGTTGTAAGGAAGTTCCATGTGTCACAGTAACCCCTCACGATGACTTTTTTCTGTGCAATGTCAATTCTGCGAATAAATAAGGAACACATCAAAAGATGCGCCCAGAGAGCAGGGTTTTGAGTCCTAGTTACACTAAAAACTTATTTCTCTTTTTCCCCCTGCTTTTCAACTAACCGAAACCTACCAATGCCACCCATCATTTCATGAAGATCTTATAATCAGAGCGGCTCTCCTGCCAGTCTCATCTGATGGTAGCACATTTTCTGTGCTCTTTTTTGCCTCGTTGGCAATCTAGCCTGCTATCACTTTGAAAACAGTGCAAAGGAAGTGCTTTCCATTAACTTCCAATTTATTCGTTTCCTATTGCGATCCTAAAACGAGCAAAAGGAATGCTAAGAAAGAATTTTAATGTAATTCAATTGAAAAGGTTTGTTCTCTGACAAAATCATGCTGCTGGGTACACTCATTTTATTAAAAGGGAATCTGTCAAAAAAGAAAAGCAATTCAAGCTATAGGAGAACTAAGCTTTATGTATAAGACCCATTCTAGAAAAGTTGTACAGAAAATATTTATATATTGAATCTTTTTTTTCTACTGACTTTTATTATAATCTTAGAGGAGTACTCCTATAGAAAATTCTTTTGCTTTGGTCTATCATTGTGCAAATCGCACTTAGGAATCCAATATTCATTTTAAGGACTACTTTGATGTCCACTACTGGGCATCTACCCAAGAGATCAAAAGTCACTTTATGAAAAAGACACCTGCACTCGAATGTTTATAGTCAGCACAATTCACAATTGCAAAGCTGTGGAAACACCCAAGCTGCCCATCAATTCATGAGTGGATTAATAAAATGTGGTATATGTATACCATGGAGTACTACTCAGCTTTAGGAAACAATGGTGATATAGTATATTCCTGGATAGGGCTGGAACCCATTCTACTCAGTGGAGTATCTCAAGAATGGAAAAACAAGCAACACATGTACTCACCAGAAAATTGGTATAATAAAGATCAACAATGTAAGTGACATATAGGAATAACATTTATCGGGTGTCAGGCAGGTGGGAGGGGGAGGAGGGGATGGGTATATACCAACCCAATGAGTAAGATGTGCAATGTCTGGGGATAGACACGCTTGAAGCTCTGACTCGGGGAGAGGGGGTCATGGGCAATATATGTAACCTTTTAGATTCCAAAATAAAAACTTAAACTATTAACTAATACCAGCGAAGGGGCTTTTAGTCAAGTGAACAAGCAATCAAAAATTGTTTTCCATAAGTATTCACTACAAAGTCCACATACCGTAAATACACAACAGTGATTTTCATTTCATTCTTACTGACCCTCCACAAAGTGTGACTGTTCAGGGAGCACAGTGCCTGGGCCCCACTCCACACCTGTTCAGAATCACCTGGCTGAATGAGCCTCACAACCTTCATAAGCTTCAGACGCGACCAGTAATTCCTGATTTGCATTTAGTTGTAAGGTTCTTTTAAGGATAGTTTAGTTTCTCCAATAACTGATTATAAAAAGTTAAGCCCTTCTTTTTGTAAGAATAACATTTGTAGTACTGACAAACAGCAACATTCTTAGTAAATATTTTAAAGTTTCTCTTCAATGAAAGCTCCCAAACACAGTTAGCTTTATCAGTTGTGCAAATCAAACTCAAAGGGTTTATGCCTACAACCAGAGCTGTCATGGCTCTCAAAAGGTTTAGTGCATAAACAGTAGGTCTATATGAAGCAAAATATCAATCCTTAAGTAGAGGTAGATTTACCATGAAGCTCATTAAAACTTAAGCTTCAAGCTTCTCACTTGCACTTCCAAGGCCTAGCATTAATTTGGTATCTCATAATTTTTGCCTTCTTTTCAGAAAGAGGGATCCAAAATTATAGAAGCTCTAGACATTGAAAAACACGATTCCTTTGGCCATTAAGATTATAGTGTTATTATAGATTATGGTATTATATCACAGTATTTTATAATCAGAGTAGAATTTCATATACTTATACTCAAAAATGTTGTCCATCCAGTTTCATCGTTTTAGTGGCTAGAAGGCACTATTGCCGTGGTAAGTAAACAAAATAATTCCTAGTCCTTGAGCAGTCATGCTTTCAAACATCCGTTTGTTCTATTGTCAACCATTCACCTGGTTATCCGAGACACCACTCGAACTGGCATCCGATTAGGGTCCGCGTCAATTCTCAGGGTATTGCCATTGCTGTCTGTCACAGCGGTAATATCCATTGTCATTGCTGTAGCTAAAATTGTACAGGTAATCGCCGGTGACTAAACTCACAGTGTATTGGTGAGTACCATTGATGTCAAAGATATAGAGTTCCTGGTCAGTTGGAGATGCAACTTCATAAAAGTTCATGGAGTTAAGTAAAGGCTTATTCTTTGACACAGCCCGGATCCGAATATTTCCTAGATCTGCGATGTACAATGTCCGTCCGGAGAACAGCTAGGGAGGACGGAGCATTAAGTTTGGCATCTTTGGCATAGCCGTCTCCACTCTGGTAACAGTCACAGTTGGCATGTTTTTGCAGTCACACTCTGAAGGAGTTCCCGCCACCAAGGAGATCTCTCCATCCGTTGTGACCTGCCTTATCCGGTTAATCTTCTTCTCATCAGTTTCGTAATGTACAGGACCCCACTGTAGGACACGGCATGGCAGTGGCGGATTCCAGCGTCGTCTGAACGCATGCTTCCCCACGGGGTATTCCACCCCGGGAACCTGGCAGTGCATGGGCCGGCCGGCAGCAATGCGAACCTGACGGTTTTCAGTGATCTGTAAAACTACATTATTATCCAGGACATAAATGGAGTTGGTCCATAGGGTTAATGGCGAGGTCAGTGGGCCATTCCAGACGTACCTTAATAAAAAAAAAAAGAAATGGTCTGGTTAGCTCAGTTACTGCACTGCAGTTAATTTGCCAGAAGACTAAATTAGACCATTTAGGGAAATTAGCCTTAATCTGATAAACTGTTATAAAATAGTTTTTTCAATAGTCACAGTAAAATAAACCCAAAAGTTCTGGATGGAGACAAATGTAAGAAATAACATTTTATTTTAAAATGTAGCTCATTGAAAGATTTGCTAGTTATAGCCAAATAGCGAATAAACCTCTAAGTAGTGAGAGTCAATAGATATCAACGAGATATGAACACAGAGTTCCTTATAGCAGTAATAACCGCCAAATGTTGGGCTTTCTAGGTTATGAATACATTAGTATTCTATTGTGTTTTCAATCAGACCAAGAGTAAAGTTTCTAATTCTAAATATAAGTCTCTTGGGACTAATCATAGTGGTTCTCTCTACTACTTAAAGAGCTCATGCAATCAAAAGATTAGAGATTTAAGCTGTTTTGTTCTTTTTGGAATATCTGCATGCTGCTACTTTACTGGTATTTTATTACAGATGCTTAGCATTTCTTAGTGATAATTGTTCTGTATTCCATTGAATTCATCAAATGCAGAATTATAGAAGAATATAACTTTTTATTAGCTCCTGAGACACATTTTAATGGAACAGCTCTATCATAACAACTGCCACACATGACATATACAGTTTAATATGGTGCCATAGTATCTACTGATCATAATAAGTCAAGTCACTCAGAAAGAAACAAGCAAGCCAGCTTAATATTTTAACTACCTGGCTGATGTGCATGCTGGTGTCACAAGTTAAGGGTCTGGCTGAAGTCAGATCATTAGAGCCCAGGAGAGTCGATATGATTCCATTTTGATCAACTTTTCTAATCATGGTTCCATCAACAAAGTAGATTAATCCGTTCTTATCAATCGCCATTCCTTTATTGGAGAGAAGTAAATATTACCAATTTTCAAAAATGATTAATTTTGATTAAACTCCTAAGCCCATCATTAAGCTCAACACTTAACCCCGGTGATAACATAGGTGACAGGCAGCAGGTAGGAGTGCAGGTTGCAAACGTGTGAGACAACAAGCAACATAGGCATATACAGTACAAATAAATTTAAAATTCAGTAACAAAATAATCCAAATTTGTAAGATTCTCCAGTTGAGCGTATGTCTGAATTACACAGGCAGTACTTGTATGTTTCATATATAAAATATAATGTTTATATAATGACACAGTCTATAGATTATAGAAACATGTTCAAATTCTGTTTCTGCAAATGTACAGTCATGATATTCTTCTAACAAAATAGATCTAAGCCAAGGTTAGTGTTTTGTTGACCTTGTTACAATGAAATTTGCTATTATGAATAATTCAGTGCAAATACTTTTTTTCCAGTCCTTGTTCACATAAAAGTCACTAGCTATAATGAAAAAAAAAAAAGCTCCAAACCAAAAAGCATTGTAATGAATAGCATAATACATGAGGAAGGAGTCAGTCCTCACTGGTTTAAAAGCCTTTATCACATAGAATTTTAGCCCTTGTTACCTCCAAAAATTCCTCGCAGCAAGCATTTTTCCCATGGCATAGAAACAAAAGTTGAACAGCTCCAAAGTGGATGAGGGCGAATAGGGTTGCTTAGTGATGGTTTTTAAAGAAGTCTGGGACTCATTCATGACAAAGAAATTCCAGGACAATGAAAGAATTTGGACACTTCCTTGAAGTTTAACAGGAATGTGACCTGAATTATATAGAGTAGTTGCTTCATTCTTTGAAGAGTTGAAAAAAATGGTATGACATTAAAAAAATTCCAAGAACCTAATATTTACTATAAAATCAACTTAGGATTCTAGCAGGTTCGTGTTAAATGGCTTTTAAGAGCACTAGATGTGAAACAGCTCTTCAGAACACAGTTGAAGGCAAAATGTTAGACTGAGCATTATTAAATACAACCAGGCACTAACTGGATTTTCTCCTTTTGCTTCATTTTATTTTTTTTAAATAAAAGAACTCCTCAAATTGGTAACTGCCAGCACCTTTGGGACTCATGAGTGTTGCTTCCACGGCCTTCCCGCCGTCCCACACCTGGCTTCGTCAAATGGAAGGCACTGCTCTCCTGTCCCTGCAACTACTTCCGCGTTTTTAGTCAAGTCTTTTGGCACCCGTAAGGGACTTTGGGCGATAAATCCTGCGCGTGTTAGTGTCAGAAACGTACAAATCTCCTGTGACGGGATCCGTTGCAAGGTAGTATCTGTGAGCTGGGTTGCTGCTGTAAAAAGGATCACACGTAACCATCACAAGAGAGTTACTCCCGATACACAGAGGGAAATTAAAAGCAAAATGAAACAGATCATGAGAAATGGATTATAAACTGGAATGTATGATCAAAGACCAGCAAATGAATAGACTGTATATTTAATAATGACTTAAAAATGTGATCACAGGCAACCATTCCCTGATATTACTGTTTTCCTGCTTGCCTGATGCTGAACATGCAACAATGTATTAACACCTATCTTAAAAATCATTACCTTTAAAAAAGCAGTGTCTTGCCTAAAACAAAGAAGCAAATCCTCTTATCTTTTTGGCTCAGTGCAAAGCCACTATTAAACTGCCCATCAGTGACAGCCATGAAGTTTACTCAGGGACAGGGTGTCTCTATCAAATTCTCCTGTGAAATATAATGTACTACTGATTTCACTTGTACTTCATCATAAAGGAATTATTCTTTCAAATGGAAAACCTACCCCAGACAACATGTGGCATTTTGTTCGTCTTGGTTGCGCTATCATAATCTAGAAAAGTGACAATGTTTGTCCTGAGATATGGGAGTTAAATCCAAAAATGAGATCATTCCAGTGGAGGAGGGGGTCACCACTGGCGCCCTAATGCAGTAAGTCAGAATGCTACATCCATCAGTTTTATTTTTAAAGTTTGTGAACCGAGCTGCTCTGAAACCTGCCTATGGATTTCGTGAGACATAAACATTTGTTCATAAAATGTAACGCCTCCATTTTATAAATATAAAGTGATGCAAATGTTGAAACATTTTGTGTCCCATTACCTGTAAAAAATGGTTAAGACCAACATTATCAAGGAATGGAAAAATTATAACATATTGTTGGAATTAAAAATTTAATCTTCTCACAAACACTCAACACTATGCTCTTAAAAATTAATGTAATTTTGTACCATGTGCAAATATTACCTTCTGGAAAAAAATCTTAAAATAATTTAAATGATTTGGTATCCCAACAAAGATGTCAACTGATAGGAATCTACTAGATTCCATATATTTTTTTTTTTGTTTTTTTGAGACAGAGGCTCGCTCTGTCGCTCTGTCACCCCAGGTAGAGTGCAGTGGCATCATCTTAGCTCACAGCAACCTCAGACTCCTGGGCTCAAGCGATCCTCCTGCCTCAGCCTCCCAAGAAGCTGGGACTACAGATGTGGACCATGACACCTGGCTAATTTTTCTATTTTTAGTAGAGATGGGGGTCTCGCTCTTGCTCAGGCTGGTCTCGAACTCCTAAGCTCAAGCAACCCTCCTGCCTTTTGTTCAGAGTGCTAGGATTACAGGTGTGAGCCACTGTGCCCCCAGACCCCCAAGAATCTTTTCATGACAAACTCGGTTTTTACTAATTCCTCTCATTCTGTCTTTCCTTCTCTCTTTCTCCATAGACAGCCACCCACACCCACACCCACACCCATCCATTCACACACAGAAAACTATAAGCTCGTTTCCATTTGATAAGTGAACATCTAATATATGTAGTATAAACCTGAATCTAGGTGAACATTTTTATTCTAATGGTGATGTAGCAGTTTTCTCCTTACTAATGAGGTTAGGTTCTAATGAAACAATTCTCACTACTTAATGCTTTTTCTAAGTGCTGAATATATGTAATTTATTGTTTCCATAAGAGATTCTATTTTTAAATGAGCAGGTGATAGTTTCCACTAGTGCTTCTTACATTGGTAGAAAGGGACAGCAGATGACATGTGGAGCCCCTAGAGACCTTTGGAGCTCTCAAGAGCCCTGTGGCTGGGGGAGGGGGGAAAGGGCGTTTATTGAAACCTTAAAATCTGTACCCCCATAATATGACGAAATAAAAAAAAAAAAGAGCCCTGTGGCTGTGACGCTGGGACACAGAGAGCTATGAAGACACACCGAGGCCTGAACACCTTCAGTTTGGGATCTCCTTTTCGGCCATTAGTATCTTTTTGTGACAAGAGACAGATTAGAGCAAGAGGTCTTGCATGTGTAAATATGCGTTAAAGGGCAAAAAGTGATATGAAGAACTCAAAGAAATGCAAGTCATTACGGAATAAAAACAATTCAGAACTACTAGGCTATAGGAAATGATCAACTTGCCATGCTAAGAGTTATTATATCATTTTCCTAAGTTGATGCCTGAAATTTTAAATGCAGCAAGACATATTGTATTCCTTATGTGGTAGTTTATTACTTTGTAATGAGTTACATATCAATGTAACATTCAGAACAATTTTACCGAGGTTTTTCTTTCTTTCGGTAAATAGTCTGCTATTGACAGCGCTGGTCTTTCAGGTATATATAGTTGTTGTGACAGAGTTGCAACTCCATCAAGTTGGGTCTTTTGAAAAACATGACATTGGAGAGACTTCTTTAGCCTTTCCTATCTCCCTGATTATATGGTAACTATGAATAGCTGTATAGTTGTTTATGAGTATATACATACATACATATACACACACACATCTTTTTCTTGTTAGTTGTATATCTATCTATGAGTATAAGCTCTGGGCTAGACTGTGTGGGTTTAAATCCTAGCTTTGTCATTTACTAAATGTGTGATTTTCAACAATTTACCTAACTTACCTGCGCCTCAGATCCCATATTTGTAAAGGTGATGATAATAATAGATATTTCATAGCATGCTGAGAGGATTACATGAATATATGTAAAATCCTTAGAACAGAGCCTAGCACATACTAGGCTTTTCTAGTACATACCAGCACATACTCAGAAAAAATGAACTATTCTTAATATTTGCTTTTGTCCTGTTCCCTCTTACAGTGCAATATGTATTTTGCCTTATAACCTTAGAAAGTATATGAATGCAATAATTATTGTTACCTAAAGTATGACTTGCTTTCTGAAAATACTAAAAAAATTACTTACACTGGATAGGTTCAAATTTATTTCCTTATTTCTGCTGATATAGCAGTGGTCTATAATATCCTACACGATTGAAATTATGCAGACCTATTTTAAATATCCACTTCTTAATTGTTTAAAGACTAATGGTAAAAGTAAACGATTCATGCATACTTCTTCTTGATGCTCTCATTTTTAGGAAAAAGTAAGCAAACCGATCTTGGAGGTGGCAGCTTGAGTGGTGCTAGCATACTATTTAGCTACGGGATATGAGCTTTCTTGGTAAAAAAAAACCCCAATGTTTATTCAAGTCATAACTTTGCCTTTATTGGCATCAGTTTTATTCTTGTGTGGTAGTAATAAGAGAATTTCCAGGGTGGTGCTTATATTTGCTTATTTCATGTCCTGGAGGATCTCCTTCCTTGAAGACACAGAAATTTCTCAATCAAGCAACATACATCAATGGCTTTAAAAATGTCCACCAAATGAAAGCTCTAATTTTGTACACAACTAAATTGCCCAGAAGAACAAATGTGGGAGGAATATATGGCCCTAGAGAGGAGAATTAGCCTCTGGGAATATTCCCCACGGAATGGTAGGAAATGGGAACGGGACATGTTCCCTGCAGTGCAGCGTGGCCTGGCAACTTAGAGCTGGGTCTTAGATCCTAGCCTCTCCGAGATGAAAAGAGGGATCAGTACGGAAGTACTAAAAATAAAAGAAGTGAGTTTGGAAATTTTTAGTTGACAGACTGGTGGCAGAGAAGCTCTGAATTGTAAATGCAATAGCAACGGGATTCAAGGTCACTCAACTTAAGCATGCAGAGTTTCCTGACAGGCTGAGCTAGTAGTACTTGCTGTCCAACTTCCTGAAAAGGCAAGACACTAAACAGGCTGGTGTGTTGGTGACAGTGAGTGGTGAGATTTTCGGTCAGTACTGTATCTGGAGTGAAAATGTGAGGCTACCATGATTGAAAAAGGCTGCCGCCGGCAGCTGGGGGGCAGGGATTTACAAAATGCTTAATTTTGGGAAATTTCTGCTCAGTGGTAGGAGCCAGCAGCATTCTGGTGTGATTGATGTTCTGAAATTTTAGCATTTCAAGAAGGTTTGAAATATTACAATTTCAACTAATAGCAAAACCAAAGGAACTGAGATCAAGTTAAGAACCGTTAGTATATTGCACCTTGATTCTTAACTCATCCTGAATTTCCAAGATCATCACAATTATCCGGCCAGCTTCTCTACAGTCTTATTCAATTAGACACAGATTCAGTGTTAAGTGCAGGCTGGATCTGCTCATTTATTTTGTCCTAATTCAATCTTCTTAGACTAGAGAAATATTCACAAAGAACAAGCCATAGAAGAGATATTATTAGCATTTTTATCTTTTTAGTTGGCAATTGTGCCACAGCCCTTAGAACACAAAGCATTTGAAGAAGCATAGTAAATTATATTTATGTATAAAGGTAAAACTGCCTATCTTATGGTAACCAAAAGACTGTTTGGATTATTGCAGAGACTTGGGCTGTGGTATTTCTGTGTCTACTCATTTTTTAAATATTAAGTCAATACAGAGTGCTGAATCAAGTTTTTATAATTTTGTATCTAAACTTTCATTGATTCAATTTCACAGACCTGTGATTGATTCTGTTATTGGAAATATAAAATTCTCAAAGTTGATTTTTAGTTCTACATGTTTAAAAGCCCCTTCGCTGGTATTAGTTAATTAGTTTAAGTTTTTATTTTGGAATCTAAAAGAATTGAAACAAGGATGAGGTTAAAAACTAACTACCTATTAAAGGGGTTTGTTAGCAAACTAATCCTGTAAACATCATGGGGGAAATGTTTAGCATACCTAAAAGAAATATTTTTAAAGCAGTATAGAAGCTCAATTTATGTCAAAAATCAAAATGTTGATTGAGTAATATTTATATCTATTCATTAAAGTACAGCTAAGGACTTTTATTTTATAGACTTTCCTGGTAGTACTTATTAATTTGATATAACAAAATACTCCCTGAATTTTAAAATAAGACTATGTGTCTTTATTTTTTTTATTCAATGTTTTTAGTATTTCCCCCATTAGTCCAATTAATGAGTCTACAGTAAATGAAATATAGTAAGAGGATCAGAAACATGCATTTTTTACTTAATCATTAACAGCCGATGATACCATTCTTTTTATAGATTTAGACACATTTTGAATTTATTTTTATTCCTCTGACCAATTCCTAAGCCTCTCATAACGTTTATGCTTCCCAAGAAAGTGAGGATAAGGAGATAATCAGGTGGGATCTTATTCACTGGAAAAGGAAGCATGATTACAGGCAGGCAAATAGGAAGGAGCATTTGAAAAGGATTTTAATTTTCTAAGCTAAAGAAAGAAGCTCCAATGAGCTAAAATATGTTGATTTTGTTAGGTCATGTTTGATTAATTAGTTATTGAGCAAACAGAATCTCTATTTTTTATCAAAGATATTGTCTGTTTGGTCATCCAGGCTCAAAAACCCTGCATGTTTTCTACATTTTTCCTCTTTCTTAACACCCATATACAGACCCTCCATTCTCTGCTTCCCTTTATTTTGGTGGTTGACTTCCATCACTGCTAACCATCCTGCTTTAGGTATGGAGCATCTCACAGTTTAGTGCAATAGCCTTCTAACTTATCTTCAAGTCATCCTGAACACTGATATCAGATTAATCTTCCTAAAAGGCCACTTTGAGAGTATGCCACTTGTTCAACCTCCTAACGTGATTCCCCCCGTCTCAGTTATCCCACAGGACAGAACAGCAACTCAGAGCATCCAAAGCCTGAAGCAGCCTGGCCCTAACCTGCCTCACTCTCTGCATCTCTCCTTATTACCAACACGAACTCCCTGCTCCATTCAGGTGGATCCGATTTCCCTTAGAACATGTCTTGCTCATCTCATTCGCAGACCCCAGTACCTTTACTTGCTCCATATTCTTTTTGTCATGACTGCCTTCCTTGCTTCTTGCCTTTCTGTTTAAACAGACTCATTTGTAGACCTAGTTCACATATCCACCCTTCTAGGAAACTTCTCCTCTCTCTTCCCATCTCCCAGTAATCTCTTCCTCCATAGAATTACTCTTACATTCTAAGCCATGGATGTGATTAAGTGTCAAAAATGGTACGAACAATGTTATTTAGTTTGTCACATATATATTAATACCTTGTTTCTGCCACTGGATTGTGAGTTCTGAGGGCAGGTACTTTGTCTTATATTACTATGTGTCAAAGAGCCTAGCACATGGTAAATGATCAGTTAACACTGATGGATTTAATACAAACGAATATCAATATAAAACCCAAACAGTGTATTTTACATGCCTGGCACAGAAAGGAAATGCAGAAGCCCAAACTCAGTGAGGATGATGCACAGAGGAGAGAGGTTATGGAGAATCATGAGAGAGGGTTACAGTTGGTATCACTGCCAAACACCAGGAGTTAGTACATAATGAGTTGATATTACAGAGCATTGTTAATCATAATGTAGTTTCTTATAGATTTTTTTCCCAGAGAAAGAGATTATGCTCTAAGTAATTTGTAAAATGGTTGTAAAATAAGTCTCTCTGTTGGCTTACCCAGGGAATGACCCCCTAGCTATCTGGACACACATAAACTGGCTGTGTGGTATAGCACAAAAGACATTTTTCAGCCTAGGTCAAATCTCTGTTCCCCTTTTCTTAGTCTTGTGTCGTGGGGAAGATATGTAACTTCCTTGAGCCTCAATTAGCTCATCTGTAACCCTGCAGGAGTGTTGTGTGGACCTGCAAGAACATATATAAAATATCTGGCCCGGTGCCTGGCATGGAACAGGCCTGCTTGTTAAAAGGTAGCTGCTTTGATAGTTGTTTCTGTATCGCCTGCAGCAGTTTCACATTTAGTTGGTGTGCGTACCTGTTTCTTTCCTCTTTTCTCCATGGCTACCAAGAAAGCAAAACCAGACATTTTTTGATATTCTACTGTGGTTTCTAATAGCAGAGCTTTGCATGCTCAGTATTCTGGGGAGATTTAGTGTTCATCTTAGCATGTGACCGAGCTATTAGCTAAAAGTACAAGATCAATAGGGGTTCTCAGGGAAAGGTCTTGGACCATGCCTGGTCACTCTGATATGCAACAGCTATAAATCTTTCGGGAGAACTCTGGTTTTCATTTGCTAGTCGTCAGTCTCTATATAACAATTTAAATGGGTTATGTCGATTCATTCATTTAAAATATCTCACATAAAATATCACAAATTTTGTAATCTGATATCATTTCATTAGATACTTTAATGGCTAAATTAGATCCAGCATGTCGAACCTATCTTGCTTTTTGCTAGCTTTACTTTAAAACATTGGTTTTTCTCTCTTTTGGGCTGTGGTGAGGAAAGTTTTCCAGTTGAATGTGTCCATACAAGACTCTACTGTATTTTCTCCAGCTAAGTGGGCACAGCAAATAGAATATGGAAAACTCTTGAGCCTATATATTTGCTTCCACTATATTCATCCTTAGCTTTGAAGAAAGTCTTTTTCTCTATAATAACAGCAATGAAAACATTACTACTTAAATCTAGTAGCTCTCCCAAATTAGGAAAATATCAAAACTATAAGCAGAGCTGATTTACCAGGAAACTAATAAAGCTTCAGCTTCAGCGTCCCTCACAATACATGGTCCCTTAAGCCCAATGAGGGGTTTGGGGAATATGTTCACATGATCATATGTTTTTTAAAATTTGCCAAAGTAAAATCATTTTAGATTCTTTTCTTAAACAGGGTCTCCCAAACGGAATAAACTTTGGGCTCAGTAAAACATAACCTGCTCTGAGTATTGGTCAAACTATATACAGGCCTCCTGAAACTTTCCTATTGTGCTTCAAATTTTGTTCTGTTCAAGATTGACTTAGATTACATGAGTCAGTAACTGGAGCTTGGAAATATTTTTTGTTGTACAACAATATCCGCTATAATGCTTTTTTGTAACAAAATTTATTTTTTTTGTTTTTTTTGTATTTTTAAAATTTTTTCATAAATTATACAAACCACCTTGAAAATATTTCTCAAATTATATTGCATAATAAAATTTGCAATATATCATAACAGTTCAGTTAATCAGTTTTAATCCCTTTGGTGTTCCGTGATACTGAGTTTCCTCTCTCATGATGAAATGTTATTAGAAAACAATTTCAGAGAGTCACATTGAAAAGGACATTTGAAAATATTATAATAACCTCTAAGCAAGATGCTTACCTATGTCTAAAATCTTTATTTCTTGGTGGAAGCAGATAAAAAAGGTAAAAAAAACACACAGTTAGAAAAAATTTCTAAAATATAATGAATTGAATTCTGAGATTTTAATTATTTGTGTGGAAAGTTGCCAACTTAAGCAGAAATACCACTGGAAATAAATTTTGTAGGCCAAGGCTTACTAAATAACTTAGAGAATAGAATGATTTTGATAATCACACTTAAATGAACAAAGAAAAGACAACAATATGTTACTTTCACAACTGGCATTATAGCTAATGGATTAACCCAACTTGAAGATCAAATATTCTAGTTATAAGTTTTAGCCCCAGTTCATTTAATATCAGAGCCTGATATCATAGGAAAATATTTTATATCTTAATTTCAACCATGGTGAAATAAAAGAGTAACACCTGTATCACAGGGTTCTTCTAAAGAAAACAAAAGAGATTTAAGGATCATAGTTCCATCCTTTTAGGGCACAGAAAATTCAGTGCAATCAGTGAGACATTTTATATGTTAGGTGACTCTATACTCTTTAATAGCTTCATGATACAATATATATGAGTTGTGCTTCTGCTAACTTTAACCAAGAATCTAACTTCTTTTTAGGGTTAATTTTAAACATTGGGAAGGCAGGTTTAAATATGTAAATTAGTATATTAGACTCAATATTTTCTTATAAAGGCGGGTTTAGCTTTGATTAAATTCTCAAATTTAAGAAATACATACCTTAGTTCCAAAACACTCGTTACATTCCCGGAAGGGAATATCCGCCGAACATAGTTGAAATCCCCCACATAGAGACTGCCATCGATCCCGCAAGCTAACGCGACTGGGGCCAAGAGCTTATTACCGTCGGCTTGCCCATTGCAGCTGGGGCAGGAGATGCTGCGCCTTCGCCCATTGCCCATGATGCTACTGACAACTGGAGGCTGTTGGGAGATAAACTGGTTTTCCCCATTTCCCTTGTACAGTATACCTAGAAGAAATAAAATGCATTTTTTATGATAAAATGTGTAAAGATGAAAAATGAGCATGTTCATTACAGATCTAAATAAAATTCAGTGCCTTCTAGATTTGGATTGGGAAATGTTTATTTGAAGTTTTATTGGAAAGAACTCTATCTAATTACCCAGTGTAAAATAGTACATGAAAAAGTACATAGGATAGATACAAAAAGTGCTGTCTGTTCTGAATTTAAAAAATGTTTGATTGAAAGAAAAAAAGGACTAACAAGAAAAATTAAAAACTCAAATTCTCAACATCAGAGATTATCAGTCTTGGCTATGCATGGAAACCATTGGGGGAGCTGAAAAAATACTGATGCCTGGTTCTCACCATGAGAGATTCTAGTTTAATTGGTCTGGGGTGCAGCCTTGGCACTGAAAGTTTAAAAAAACTCTCCAGGTGATCTTAATGTGTAACCAAGTTTGGGAACTGTACTCTACACAATGTTCTTTAGGGAATAATAAGTTTGCCTAATTGGTAATCAATGCTGAAAATATTATATTTTAATCTAATTAATAAAAAATGTACACCAGGAATATAAATTTCTTCCTTATGAATTTATCATTAATTTTAAAAAGTTACAATACTTTATGGAAAACAGTTTTCCATAACAGCTTTCAAAGCTGTTAATTTTAATGAAGGCTTATTTTAATTTTACTATAATGTCAAAGAATGTTCTTGCTTATAGTCTCATGCTATGTAAAGATGCATATACATAGTGGTTATTCAAAATGTCAAACATAACAAAACCACTGTGGAAGGCAAATTATTTATTTAAAGCGAATTCTGCTTTAAGGCATTAAAGTGCCAATAATTGTTACCAAGACAAAATGCCAATCTCCTCCTTTATGGTCTTCAATAAAATCTGAGCAAAAATACCAAATGAATATTAAATATTTTCATGGTTAGAAATTAGATTTGAATTGAGATTCTAATTTTATTCATTCTGCCATTACTATATATAGATCAATGGCTCCATTTTGGTCTGATGTACATTGGATAGTCGGCAGCATTTGTTCTATGTATATTTTATGATACTTCTTAATGTGTTATTATCTGTATAAACCACCTGCTGCTTTGACTTTGGAGCCACATATCTTATATTTATTGTATGTTCTATGTTTCAAAGCAGTTCTCAGAGCTAATGACTATACTTCTTAGCGGATACATTTAAAAGAATAATCCAATGAAAGTATAAACAGGAAACTTGAGAAAGTATTTTTTCTCCCACTTTGGGATAATTTTAAAGTGAAGATTAGAATAATTATGTTCTCCTTATAGCTCAGCACATTTTAGGTGCATTCTGTGATTACTTTTTTAATGCTTTGCTATTTGGGTGATGTAATAATCATAGCAAATTTACATAAAGAAATCAGGAAACATAAAACAGGTTTATGCAAATTTAAGGAAAAATAATCTAAATAAGCTGGATCATAACAAGAGATGAAATGCATTTTGCCTTGAATATTCAAAGAATACATTAATGATACCTAAGATTCTTCTTTCTGTGATTACGTTATTTGACAATTATGGAACTATAATTTCTTATAAGAGCCAGTTCTGTAATTTTCATCAGAAGAATCCTACAAGTCTGCCTACTGCTCTAGCACACCTGATTTATTCAATCATTACTCTGAACGATTGGCCCTTCATGATTCCCCTCTATTAGGACAGAACAGAAAGATGAACATTAGAATATTTATTTCCATGTTTCAGGGCGCCTGCACAAACACCTGTCACTGTCTACATTTTTGCCTTTTCTTCTTCCTTCATTTATTTCTATAGCTCATCCACCTTGCCATGATTACAAATCACTTTGTTTATTCAATTAGACACATGTCACTTTGAAAAGCCACTGCTTGTCAAACTGTTCTTGATAAAATTCTAAATCACAATCTGTTCACCCTGTGACTTAGGTTACCATTTTAAAATGACATATATTTTATAACTCGTAACATTTTTTGGAGGACAGAATATTTTATTCTCAAATACAGTCTAGGCAGAACTGAAAAAAAAATCTAGATACTCAGAATATATTAATGACTTAAGAATTAAAACTCTATCAGAAATATTTTGGTAAATTCACATAGATTTTTATTTTTTATTTATATTTTTAAAAAATACCCCTCCTTCCACTTTTGGTAAACCTTTCTAAAGGACTTTGGATTACACTCACTGACTCACTGTAGAATTACACATGCCTGGATGAATATTCCATTGCAACTTCAGCACCAGTCTCTTACATTCTAATGGGAAAAGCATTTTGGTGATGAATATCTGGACATTTTAAAGTATATTAAAAGAGTATTATATAGTTCCATCTTTAGGCTTTTATAGTCTTTTTAAATATACCTTTATTATTTATTTTTTGCTACCAATTCTAATCCTACAGCATGCACAGGATAAAGTATGGCTACAATCTAAGGAGTTGGCAGTTGAGCAATATTAACTATCTGAACAAGATCATACCATTCTGAACATCCAGTACATGATGTTTATCTAATGTCCAACCACCCATGTTGGAAGCATCCAATTCATAACCTTGCAAGACGGCAGTCCTCTTTTCCCACAGAGTCAGGTCCAAACACGACTCATATTCATATCCAACTGACACTGGAATCAAAACAAATCACAGTTCACTTTCCCAATCACAGGCAGAAATGCAATTTATTTTACTATTTTGAAAAAAACTGCCTTTTTCACATTTGTGTTTGGAGACTATATTTCCACTCATGTATGAGTGGTTAATTTTAATAAAAGAAGATTTGATCATATAAGTTTTTTTTTTTTTAAAAATGATCTCTCAATATTATTTTCTACTGATTTGATAGAAAAAGTGTTTTTCACATTTCACAACACAAAATAAAGTCTAGGTTGGGCAAGGGGTTAAGTAATTAGATTAGATAAGTCAGCCCCAAATGGTGATTAGGTGATAACCACTAAAAATAATGTTTGCTACCTGAATAAGTAGAGCTGTTTAGTTTCTAAGAACATTAAATTATGGAAAATACTTATGATAAGTCAGGATCAATGGAACAAAAAAGATAGCCAGATTATGACATTATATTTATATGTTATTATCAGGAATAAAAAAAAACTAACAGTAAATTAGTAATATGAATAAATCATAAAAAACTTTTCAGAGTTTATAATGAAATGTGAATTTTAATATTTAGAAAAAAGTGAAGAAGTGGCAACTACCTGACTGATTTGAACTAATTTAAGTCCAAATTACAAATTAATTTCAGAATAAAATTTCTACTGTATTTTCAGGTAAGAACTAACAGAACAAAATCATGTTATCCTTTAGTTTTTGATATACTGAGCTTGGGCTTGAAGCTCTACTACCTATCTCTATCAATCCATATTGCAACAAGTCAAACTTTGTGACTGACTGCATTGTCTGGTTATTTAGCGAAACAACCCGTTGGATGTTTTCAGACCGTTTCCTCTGAATGGATTGCGCCTTCTAATTAAAAATGCTGAAATTATTCTTGGATACAAATGTTGTCTGATATCCTGTTAGATCTCATTACGAGTTAAAACTACAGTAGTGTTAAGTACAAAACCATAAAAAAGGATAAGGAAGATTAGGGAGATAAAGTTATAAAGGAAAAAAGAAAATGAAAAAAGGAAAGGACACATTAAGAAAAAAAAAAACATGGAGAAAAAAAAAAAAAGGATGTGACAACCTGAAATCTTATTCAGAGAATTCCTCTATAATTTCTGCCAGAAAAACTGATATTGTCTTCATTTTCTTCTTTTTGTCATACAGGGCACATTCCTTGTCCCATGGTAGGCCTAAACCAGCCAACTTGTAACTTCCCTAGAATCTTACTCCCTTTTATGACTTTCCGTGGGTGATACTTAATTTTATGACAGTTCTGACTTCACGAAAGTTTTTTCAATGCAGAAAAGATACAGACGAAACTTACCAACAGCTTCTGACAGACCATACACCTTCTGATTATATGCATCTGTTTTGTCCCATATAAAAGTATATGCCAAGTTTGGCGAGGCAGGAAACCACTTTTGAAAGAGTCTTCCCACTACAGCTACCATAAGATGAACCTTCATTAAATTAAATGGTATAATGGACTGGGTCATGGTGATCTTGAGAACTGACTTATACCCTGCAGCTCTGGAACTCAAATAGGAAAGTTTCAAATCTGTTCCTGGAATTGTAGTTTCCTCATGGAGTACCTAGGTTCGAATAAAGCAGAGACTTCAAACTGTGATCATGTATGACTATCAGATGAAATACGTTTAAAAGAACCTAGCAGAGCAACTAAAACAAGACACCAGAGTCAGTATTCACAAATACGCATTTGAGCTGTTATCTCGTTTCAACAATTAGAAAAAACTCTGCTGCCAGCCCAACTGTCTCCTCCTAAAAGCCTCTTGTCATTTATTCTGAGTTAATCACACCTCAGGTGCTACTCTTCATACAGGAATCGCTGCGACTGCTCCATCGGGCTGACATGCACTGACTTGTTAGTGCAATAGTCACAGTGGCTTCTCACTAACCCAGCTTTCACCCCCGTCGCCCTGGAGAATTGCAGCAGACAGTTGTAAGATGGTTAGCTCAGAACAGGGATGCGGTCTAGGGCACAGATCTGGCCTGTGCCAGGTGGCTCATTTAGGGATTAAACCTATGCCTAGAGCCTCATCAGCTGGCTGGTCACAGCCTATAAAGCTGGTAAGGACAAAAAACAATCAATTCTTCCTGGTTAAACTGTAGCAAATTCCATATCCATGTTAAGAGGTAATGTCACAACAGCTCACTCTCATAATTAAACATGGAGCTACAACTTACCATTGATTTTTGATAAGATGGTAAATGAGCGAATATTTTAGAGCCACATAAAATTTTTCCTAGAGTGCAACTAATATGTTATTGAATGCACACAGAAGACACTCATTATATACTTCCTGATTTGAAATTGAACCGTAAAAGTGAACGTAAATTTTTGCATAAGGATTACCTTCTTTACAAATTTTTAAAAATCATACTCTTAACCCCACAGTTTATCTGTCAATGTGACTAGCTCAATGAATGCTGACACATTTATATTAACATATGTTAAATACATTGTGCCAAAACATTATTTATTTTGAAAAATACATTTTACATAGTATATAAAATTTTTCTAAACAGTTCAGATTCTCTTTACCAATGTTCCTATTTTTTATTAGTTAAGGAATAACAATTCTTCATAGGCTCACTATGTTGTAAAGTGCAAGGCTGGCTATGTTCAAGAACCTATGGCAGGAACACATTACTTTCTCTACTAAGAATTAACTCATTAACTGGCATGTGAGTTGTATCTAATTCATGCAAGTTTTGAGCCCGGGGCTTCGTGAAGCATATATAACTCACCTGTCTTTTCACCTTGGAAGCTGTGAGAACTATTTTTCAAGTTGCATATAACTCATGCACAGAAACAATAAAAAAATAACAAATTTTTCATTAAACTAGAAAAGATTATTTTGTTTTCAGTTTTTATTCTATTTTTGTAATAAAACACTGTGGCTGCAAGGCAAAATATTTTTTTAAAGTGTGGCAGTCAGTGTGTTAGACAGCATTCTCAAAAGGCTTCTTCACACTCTCAAGATTCATCATGCGGACATAAGGGACTGCCTTAACGTTAGAAAAATCTTAGAATAGTGATTCAGTGTTTGGTAATGTTTCCTCTCCCCCAACACCTCTCCCTCTGAACAGTTAGGAATGATGTATATCTGTCATCCCCAAATATTAATAACTTAATAAAAATAAAACTCTTGATACTGGGGGTACAGCTGTCAGTTTCAGTATAAACAATAACACAGTTGGAAGTAGCACAAATGAATGCACTAAACAAACTTCCCTTTTGGCCTGTGAGCCAGTGTTGGCATGACGAGGGACGTGGTACAATGTCATAGATCAAGAGGGCACTGATCGCTAAAATAGATACACCCATTTATTACAGTTGGAGTTTTCCTTACCAAACATGCTGATCCAATTCAGCCACAAAACTCTCTTACACAAAATAGATTACAAACATATAGAAACTTTCTAGAGCTCTATTTGACTCGGAGAAACCACTAAATTTCAGATTGACAGTACTTCTGTAACACTGTAGGGTGTCAGGGCGAGTAATCTAAAGACAGCTCATTGTTCTCTCATGATCGGGGTGAAATATCGATGGGTTAGTATGAAAAATAGATTCCGTGACTCCTGAATGACCCTGAAAATATGAGATTGAACCCTAAAGTGCATAATTTGTTTCCTCTTAATTTATTTTCAAAATAATTTCTCACAAAGTGGAGAGGTTTTCTATGTGTAAGGGATCCTTTCATTACTATGTATATTCTGTGACCTTCTAGCAGTTGCCTCTCTATCTCCAAATATGTGTTATTCCTGCTTTTAATAACTGATTATTGTCTCTGTCATTAACCTACTTCCATGGAACAAATATCTGTAATTTTGTTCATTAAAGCATGCGCTTCTCCTATGCAATTTAACTTGACTATATTATTTTGCATTAGCGGGAAAAGTAAATCCAGCCAAAGTGGGAAAATAAACCACTAAGCCTATTTTTGCCAGCTGTGTGATCTGTAAGTCCCATTCTTGACCCCGTAAAACATGCAGTTAGAAACTATGTCCTGCCAATTCTGCCTTCCAAATCTGTCTAATCTGTTCCCTCTTCTCCATTTCCTCCACCATCGTGACTGTTAGGACTTCTCCGTCTTATATGTAAGGAAATACAGTTGACAATAACAGCCTGTTCACGGATTTCTGTCTCCTATAAATAATGCATTTTGCCACTTGAGTTAGCTTTAGAGAAATGCTGGAAGAAAATGTCATTGTTGCCTTGCTTCCACATTGGCTAGAGAACTCAAGGTCTGCATTGGGTTGTATCTCAGGGCCACTCATAATCTGGCCACAGCATCATCTTCTGCCTCCTTATCCATATACATCCTGCATTTAAACTGCTTACCAGTTTTTACACTACATGACTTGTTCTTACGACCACATCGGTGCTTACATATTTTCTTCAACTGGAAATAAGTTTTCCTCCCTGTTTGGCCTAATCATTTTGTAAAGGCCAACTTACCCTTTGACACTTTGTTTGGCTTCCTTAGAAATTGACCCCTATTTTGAATGCCCACAGTTCTGCGTGCAAATTTCTATCACATTTAGAATGGCAGGACCCATGTCGAATTCTTTTTACCCTAGGAAAGCACCATGTACTTGTAAATTTTTACCAGACGTTTGCCTACTGTATGAACGAATGGAAAAAAAGTCACCATGTTTTTACAGAATTGTTTACTACCCAAAACCCATATCAATGTCCTGGTTTGCTAGAAATTTGCCACCTTTGGACAGACACTGCCTCTAGGTTAAGTCTTTTATAGGACTGACTAAGAAGGTCAGAGTTACTGCAAGAGGGACTTGGGGAGGAAATATTAAATTGAAGGTTGCAGTGAACTTCCTACAGCTTCAGCTCAAAGTCAGCTTGACTGTCATATAGTTAATCATTGAGGTGTTACTCCTGCATTGCGCTTGCCTATGAGCCCTTTTGAGTTTTTGTTAGCCTAGACCTTCTTGGCTCACCCCTTCCAATCTCTACCTACACTCCCTCCCAAGTGATCACAGCCCACACTTTATTTACATGGAGATGACTCCCAAATTTGTATTTTCAGGTTCAACCTCTTTCCTGGATTCCATTCTTCCATGCCTGCTTCTACTCCAACCATGTTTGGCCAACCTACTATCATCTCTCCTGTGGATGACTGTGATGGCCTCCTAATTGGTCTGCTTGCTTTGACCCTTGCCTAATATAGAACATTCTCTGCACAGTAACTATAGTGATCCCTTAAAGAAGCAAATCAGGAACCATTACTGCTTTGCTTAAACACCTTCAATGGCTTCCAATGACTCAAAGTAAAAAGCTGTCTTTGCTGTGGTCTTCACTGCTATGGCCACCTTCACTCCAGCCATGCCTGCTGTCCTCTGCCATTCCTTGACCAAGCAAAGCATGCTCTGCCTGGAATGCCCTTCTATTTCCAGGGCATATTCTTTCCTTTTCTTAGTTCCTGCTGAAATATCACCTTCTCAAAGAGACCTTCTCAGACTGTACTATAGAAAATTGTATCCCTATCCACTTTCTCCTGCTTTTATTATTTTTAATGTCTCATCACAACCTGACATATATTTATTGTTTACTTTCTTTTGCCACTCGTTAGCTGGTAAGCTCACTGAGGGCAGGTACTTCATCTGCTGGGTTTACCACCTCGTTCCTATATCACAGTGCCTGGTACCAAACGGGTGTTCAGTAGTTATTTGAAGAATCAATATGACAAAGCTACTATGTGCTGTTGTCTTTTAAAGAACACAGATTTTTTTAATTAGCTATTTATGAATGAAGTCCATTATTACTGTGCCTAATGTCCTGCCTTTAAAATCTGAAAGGTATTTTTAATTGGAAATATATGAGAAAGAAAACAACCCCCGATATTTCAGTAAATAAAATGAATGGTGAATGTATGGCTGTTTCTTTAAAAGTTATATGAATGAATATTTTCTGTTAAAAATAATCTTTCCCAAAACATGTTTTACTTATAATTAAACAGTAAGTCATTGAGAGTAATGACCCTGTACAACAGAACTTGGTATCAACAGCACTTGGTACAATGGCAGTCAGGCTGTGAGGTATATATAGGTGCTAAAAATTTTTTTTCATTGAATGAATGAATGAATAAGCAGAGATGTTATTAGCGATTGAGTTTAGGTTATTTTCCTATTTGGCTACCACTAATAAATATATACAGATATAGCCTAAAGAAAAAGTATTTTAAATAGATCTTTAAGAAATAATCAGATAGGCTACTATAACATTCCCTCCCTACTCTAGCACAAACCCACCACATTCTAAATTTCATTCTATGGAATTAATTAAGATAGCATTGGAATTCTATAATCCTTTGTGAAGATTCCTTGGCAAAACATGATCTGAAAATATTTTATGTAAAAAGAACTGCTTGCTAGAATATTTTACCTGTGTTTCGGGAATAATGGGACTGTCTTCAGGAGAAGATCTGAAGAAGGTGGACAGAGGTGATGACACAATGATGGGATTTGGCCTCACAAATCCACTCAGATCACAGCTGGGAATGTCATTCTCTTCTTTCTTCATGACTAGGGTATCCATCACATAAAAGACATTCCATGGAATCCACACCGTATGATACTGAGTGAGGAATGGGGACCGTTCAAATACCAAAGTCAGAGAAGCTCCACCATTTGCCACCAAGTCAAACCTAAGGAAACACGAGATACACTTAGTGAATTATCTGGACTGCACAGAACTACCAACACACGCTTCCTTATATTAATATGCTCCATAAAGAAAATCAACTTTTCCTCCCAACTTTTATATGAAATATTTTCAATTCTATAGGAATGTGAAAAGAATTATACAAAGAACTCTCATATACCCTTTATCCATTCACCAGTTTGGTAACATTTTCCCAAATTTGCTTCTATTAACTCTTTTTTTGAAACCATATAAGCTTAAGTTGTAGACATTATGAAATATTACCCTTAAATATTTCAACATGCATCTTCTTCTAAGACAAAGAAAATACTCCTATAAAAGCACAATACTATTATCATGCCTTAAAAATGAAATCAACTTTTAAAGAAGTATATGAGTATATGACTTTAAATCTCTGCCACATGTACTGCCATGGGTTTCTGGAGTCTGAAAGTTATTGCACTTTCATATAAAAAGGGACAATAAAACATGATGGGTGATGCAAGAGTGTCTAGTTTTTATTCTTAAAACCCTTCAAACAGAGATAGTGTGAAGGGACTAACTCACATTCCATCCTGGCGGGTAATAGTATATCCATATTCGGGGTAATGGAAAAATGAGACGTTTACTCCAATAAGTGGAGTTCCATCAGCAGTTAGTACTTGGCCTCTGATGACAGATGCAAGGCTGTGGGAAAAGTGGAAGAATTAGAATGAACATCTGTCTTCTTAGGCCAACATTATCATGATTTATAGATAATCCAACCTAAGGATAAAAATAACACTATCCTATGCAATCAATCGTTATTCACAAAAACCAGACCTGAAATACTCCCAAGATAATGCCCCTTTTAATTCAGTGTAATTCACATTCTCTAAGTGCCTTGTGTTTACTTTGGGTTTTAATTTGTTGCAATCTGTTTTTTGGAGAGCCATCAAGACCAATAATTTAGAGATGAATTTTTAAAATTATAAACTCCGCTTTTTTTTTTTTCACAAGCCATACGTCTGGTGCTTACATAAAGAAAAGTATACTTTCCAATTAATTCTGAAGCAATCCATAAATCTTCAGGGACCAAGAAGCACAAGATTTAAGGGGGCAATAAGGAACGTTTGTGCAACAACTTTTAATCAACTGCTGGGTCTAACTGCATTAATGCTGTTAAATTACTGCAGACCCAGGAGTTCTAGTGTAAATCATCTTCTTTTGCTCAGTAAGGCACAAGACACCTGCTTTCACTTACTGGTTTATTTTCAGGTCATTACTGCTCTGTAAAGCACCAAACAGCTTATGCAATCTTACTGCCATGCCGTTAGCAGTTCCATTACATTAATTCATAATTTATATTATTTAGTGAGCTCAGCTAAAAAAAAACTGCACTTCTGTTTTGCCTTTTGGGGTCTTTCCATTGCTTCTTTTGAAACATTTCCAACTGTGCTAACAAAATCAACTAGTTAAATGAAGATTTATTGACTCCTTAATGGAATGTCCTGTTATGGCTCAGGTACTGAAATTTGACAAAGCATGTGAACTTTGTCAAAAATGCTTGAATTGCGCAGTTTGGTGAAGAATTTGCCGAAAGAGGAAAAACTATATTTAAACAAAAAAGCACTTTCCCTCAAATTCAGTTATCAGCATTTCACATAAAGTGTATGCAACTGTTAATAATATCACCATAAATCTATATATGGAAAAGATGCATTGACCTCTTATTGAAAGGGCTTTCTCCAGGTATAACATGGGTGCTATCAGATCCTATGAGAAAACTGATTCGCTCGTAGAAGGATTTGGCAGCTTGCTGAGATGGGGATTGTAAGCTTTGGCTAATGATATCCTGAGGATCCGGCAATCCACGACAGTAGGGCTGATTTTGGCAGGAACTCTGTAAGCAGCAATCAGGATCCATACAGTCGATGAGTCCATCTGTAGAGAGAAATGTAAACCAGTAGGAGAATCCTTTCTTGCCATAATGTGGAATAAGTTTTGTTTGTTCCTTGGTTTTTTTTAATCCTATATCAAGTGATCTCCTACTCCCCGATAGTAATTTCTACGAGGCATACTTATTGAAACTAGATGAAATACGAACAGTCATGCGCCACATAATGATGGATCACGCGTACGATGGTGGCCCCCATAAGGTTATAAGATTGTACTTTTACTGTTCCTTCTCTATGCTTAGATACACAAATACCATTGTGTTACAGCTGCCTACAGTATTCAGCACAGTCACATGCTGTACAGGTCTGTAGCCTAGGAGCAACAGGCTGTACCATATAGCCTGGGTTTACAGTAGGCTATACCATCTAGGTTTGTGTAAGTGCACTCTGTGATTTTATACAATGATACAATCACCCAACGACACATTTCTCATAATGTATGCCCATTGCTAAGCGACACACGACTATACTTGCATCTGCTTTCATAGAGAATAAATATTTGGATTAGAGATGGTTGAAAAGAATCATATAATGTTTATTCTGGGCAAGAAATAGAAAATTACTGATTAGGGCCAGGCATGGTGGCTCACGCCCATAATTCTAGCACTTTGGGAAGCTGAAACAGGAGGATTGCTTGAGGCCAGGAGTTTGAGACCAGCCTGAGTAACATAGTGAGACCCCATCTCTACAGAAAATTAAAAAATTAGCCAGGCATGGTGGCGTACACATGTTCCAGCTACTGAGGAGGCTGAAGTGGGAGGACTGCTTGAACCCAGGAGTTTGAGGTTACAGTGAGATATGATTGGGCCACTGCAGTCCAGCTTGGGCAACAGAGCAAGACCTTATGAGTGAGATGTGCACCATCTGGGGGATGGTCATGCTGGAAACTCAGACTGGTGGGGGGAGGGGGGGAAAGGGCATTTATTGAAACCTTAAAATCTGTACCCCCATAATATGCCAAAATAAAAAAAAAGAAAAAAAATAGACAAAGAAAAAAGAGAGAAAATTATATTCAACGGCCCATTTGAGTATTCTGTTTAAAACATGCCACCAATCCATTAGTGGATGAGTGTGTCAGGTTATGATGGTTTGATGACATTATCCTTTAAGGTCATTATTTACTGAATAGTTGAAAACATGAATTTTGATCTGCTTAAGTAATTACATTTCTCAGTATAGATTAATATAAATATTCATTTCTGAAGACATTAGTCACTCTTGGGAGAACTGAAAAAATAGTTTTACAATCTTCAAGCTTAAGCATCAGATCTTGGTGTGACCTTATCATGGCAAGCTCAGCTGAAAATATCTAACAACTTCTATGTTTTATTTTACACAAGTGTTTTTTAATAACTTTTATTCTTAAAAAACTATACCAGCCATTTATTTGCTTTAGGACACTCTTTTTAATAGCATATTAGGCCGGGCGTGGTGGCTCACGCCTGTAATCCTAGCACAGGGAAGCTGAGGCGAGCAGATCGCTCGAGGTCAGGAGTTCAAAACCAGCCTGAGCAAGAGCGAGACCTCGTCTCTACTATAAATAGAAAGAAATTACTTGTATACAGAATATATACAGAAAACTAATATATACAGAAAAAATTAGCTGGGCATGGTGGCGCATGCCTGTAGTCCCAGCTACTCGGGAAGCTGAGGCAGTAGGATTACTTGAGCCCAGGAGTTTGAGGTTGCTGTGAGCTAGGCTGATGCCCCGGCACTCACTCTAGCCTGGGCAACAAAGTCAGACTCTGTCTCAAAATTAAATAAATAATAAATAAATAGAAGATTAGCTTGCCCCTTCATTATCTGACAGCGTACTGAGACAAGAGAAAATAGACAATAATGAATTAAATTGCCCAGTCTAGAAAGCAGGTAAACAACAACGTAGGTAAGGTAAGAAATGAGAGATGTGGAGGTTTGGCTCTGCGCCCTTAAATCGCTTCGCCCATCTGCAGAATAATGTAGCGGATACATGTGTTGCCCCGTCTGTGGGCAACAGCTTTAAAATGTCCACCGTGCATCCAGCCCTCCCCACCTCTCAGGGCACGTGCATATCCTCCTCGCGTTTGCTTCAGAAAAGTGTAGGGGACCTACCGTGTCTACCCACTGGAGCAGTAATAATTAAGGATTGTGAGGAGGGAAGCATAAACTATATTATGGACTTTTTCTATCAGAGTACCACAGTGAGTGTCAGGAATTATCTAAACAGAAATTCTCCGCCAGCCTCCAAACAGGCCTGAGCTATGAGGCTGTGAGGCTGGGGTTGCTGCAGCCGTCTTGACGTCACTTCAGAACCTGCCAGGGACTGGGGCCATCCCAGCACAAGCAGAGACAAGCACTGGAGAAAAAACTAATAGGTTGTACACAGTGACATCTTTGGGGCTTCTGCCATTAGCTGCGCTTGACATCCTGGGCCTTTCAGTCATAGAAGCTAAAGCATTCCCTTTTTCCTCAAGCCTGTTAGGGTTGGATTTTCTGTCACTTGGAACTGAAAGAGACCTAACTTATCCAGAGGCAGTAACTATTAATAAAAACCTCCTCACTATTTCTCTACAGTTTGGGGTAGGGGAAAGCTTAATAAGTAAATACATGAATTACATTTATGAAGTTGGACTGTTTATATTAAATTTTAAGTTTTTCGTTACCACATTTTCTATACACATGACAATGTATGGGTTACAATTTATGATAAGCAATCTTTTTACATATTGTTTCTTGATAATTATATTTTCATGTTAGATGTCTGTTGTATTTCTAAAATGATGGGTTGTTAGGAAACTGCATGCTTATACCTTTTACAAAAATCTAAAATCATGTTTTAAGAAAATCAGTGAATCTGAGCTTTGAAATTTCATACAAATTTATCAAAATATTACTTTATTAGCCAAAAGACCACGAAGATGCAAAATGTCTGAATATTTCTCAATATTTCTAGTGGAAGAAAGATGAAACTATGCTATCGGCTTATTTTTCATGAGGATATATTGCAATAATATAAAACATTGTATTTTTTTTCTCTATCTCTCTCAAAGTAATAGAAGTGTAGGTTAAGTTATTAAAAAAGAAGTCTAAGTTTTAAGAACTTAGGCTTCTCAATTAGTAGACTATTGACCTATTGCCTTAATCTAATTTCCGGCTTCAAAAAACAATTTAAGAAAAACCCAACCCTTCAGTAGCAATTCATGATCCTATGTTGAAATTTTATGAGAACTCTTTTAATATGTGTTTATGATATAGTTTTTTTAGAGTTCTTACTTGATGGATTTAGAATGGGTGCATATGCTTGGGAGAGTAATTTAAGACAAATATTTGATATTCTTACAGTTTTTCCCTCTTACATTCATTCTTGAACAAAAGTAGAAATTACTCAATAGGGAAAGTACTTCCAAATACTATATTTTATCTTCATTAATCTGGCAAATTAAGGGTTAAGTACTCCTCCTCCTTTTCTCCTCCCCCTACAGTACTCCCACAGTGTCTTCCCTTAGGCAATGTATGGTACAGTTGCCAAAGAGGAATGCTCAAATTTAGTCATTCATCTTTGTTAGTTTATAAAAAGCAAATGTACATCTGGCATGTAGTCTGCAGGTCATAAAACTGCATGAGATTGACACCTTCTGAACTAATCAGTTGGAAATGCATTTTTACAAGCCTCTCTGCTAACATCAATCAGAGAAAGAATCTCATTTTCACCAGCCAAGATGCAGGGACACAGTTTGTTATTTTTCTGCAGAGTTTATCAGTAACTTGCCCAAGCAGGTGACGGATAGTTATGAATCTGGCTTCCTATAACTTGAGAAAACATTTTTCATTTTTTTGTCTGTATTTATCTAGCAGGTAGGACTATCTAGTACAAATAAGTTGACTACCCACTTGCCCAAATGTATAGTATAGTAAAATTGTCTTTGTGGAATGGCTTCTCAAAATCATTGAGATTCCATTTCAGTTTTAGGACTATTAGGTTGGCTTACATTTATATTGGCATAGAAGGCATATCTAATAGCATTAATCATAAAAAATCTACAAGAAATAAAATGTTCAAAACCTTCTGAATAATGACTTCAATTATCAGTTAAGAGTCTTTATTCAGGTTAGGGTTTGGAATATAAGTGGTGCTCTGATATAAAGTAGATAACATAGTTTATGCTTCCCTCTACTCAATCCTTAATATTATTGCTCTAGTTATTTTTTCTGTCCATATTTTTAAACATGCTCTTATGTTTCCTTAGGCATTTTCACTGGTCTTTAGCAGTACCTGGCCAACTAATTTTGTAAAGAGCCAAATAGTAAATACTTTGGGTTTTGTAGGCATTACAGCATCCATTGCAACTATTCAATTCTGCCTTTGTAGTACTAAAGGAGCTAGGCAATATATAAATGAATGAGTGTTGACTGTGTTCCAATAAAACTTTATTTACAAATATCAGGCTTTGGCCCAGAGACCATACTTGCCAACCTCTGGTCTTGCTTTAAGGTTTCTACCCTGTCCTATTTCTGATTTTCTTTTCGTCATCTTGATATTTTTTCTGGCAAATTTAAACAATACACATTTTGTCAGATTATTAAAACTCTGACTTCAAGTCTGTTCCTAAGTTACTCTTTATGCTGCTCTTACTCTGCTTCTCAAAACTCTAACTTTCTTCTTTCAAGGAGCAATAGATATTTTTATTTGTTTTTCAAAACCTTGATTTACTGAGTGGATAAAAAGTCATGAATTTTCTTTTTTACTCAAAAGATAATTAACGTCTACTGCCCTTCCCCACAGTATTTGAAACTAACCCCCACCTCACTCCCTGCAAGTGCTAAATTAGAGTCAGAAATTCTGATGTAGTATTGTATTTGTGGACTTCAGAATTTTGAAAGTGTACAGGTGTACTTTTCATTGCTCCTTCTGTAATGCTCATGAAATGCATTTATTCTTTACTGGGTTGGATCTTTTTTTTTTTTTTTTGAGACAGAGTCTCGCTTTGTAGTCCAGGCTAGAGTGAG